AGAATTTATGCACCTCCAAGTTTGGAGCCTTCAAGCCCTGAGAACCTTAAGAGATCCTGCACCTGAAACCGTGAAGCCTTCAAGCCCCAAGAACCGTAACAAATCCTACATCTCAAATCTTGAAGCCACACAGCCCTAAGACCGTTTAATCAAGGGTGTCCAAAGCCGGCCTGTCTGAAGCATCGGGATGCTTCGATTAAGGATTCTGCTTCAGCTTGTTTATGTCGGCTACAATGCTTCACGAATGTCGCTCCTGTTTTCCGCTCGCCCACCCCGTTTGCAAAGGCTGCATCGTATCTTCTAAATGCGGAACAGAAACCCCTAGCCGAGCAAAGAACCTCACAACTTATTATTATTGTTATTGTGATTCCCTAGACTAGTGATTAGTTTGTTTCTTTCCATGTCTGCTTTGTTCCCACTTGCAAGACTTTCGCTGCGTCCTGCTCCTCTTGTCCTTGATGGCCTCGCCATCCAGGTCATGTAGTATGCTTGCGACTGTGACCTTTTCAAATTTTCTCTGCTCCCAGCGATCCTGTATCAACCTTTGTTAAGTCGATCTCATCATGGGGAAGCTCGCTGTTGTAGCTTGCGGAGCAGGAACCCCTGAGCAGAGTCATTGACGAAAAATGGGGGGGAGGCATCAGTAGTCACGAACGAGACAGGAATGCAGGTTTTCCCAGCAGCGAGACAGAACGCCCAAGTGCCCCAAATTCGCCCGCCCCGTGGCTCGCCGAGCTCCCGAATCATCCTTAACCTAGTCGGCAGGGCGGCAACAGCACTACACAGTTCCACCAAAAGGTTTTGGAAGGGCTGGGTTACGCTTCAGCCGTTGTGCGGCCGCCACGTGCGTGCATGTGGCGACCACACACCTGCTGAAACAGAACGCTCGAGACAGCACGTACTAATTGCACGCGTTCTTCGAAGCATTCTCAAAAACACAATTCTAAGGGATTCTGCCGTTTGCAGTTCTGCCTCAGCCGTTCGGTGGTCGGCACGTTGCGGCGCGAGGCGACTTTTTCAGTCCAGGTGGAACGCACTGGAGACAGAGCGCAGACTGGATTTGGGCGCAGACAGAACGTATCGGAACCTCACCAGCACCCGAGCCCAGACAGAACGCAGGCGACCGCTCTGTCGCCCCAGACGGAACACAGACCCCCGCCCAAAAACCCCGAGAACCAGGCTCTGCCTTTAAATGTAATCAAACGAGCAGTAGCAAAAATCCGGGACCCAGCCCGACCAATTTAAGCCCCACTCTGGGCCCCATCGACTGCTCATTCAGGACTGACACAGAGGCTGTCGTTCTGCTGTACCAGACCCTTTGATCCGTTTACCACCAAAAACAGCAGCCCGGCCTCCAAGAACAGATCCCGCAGATGGAAAATAAAGAATCACAACATCTCACGACGAATGGCTACATTGCTCGAAGCTTACGACTTACATGCAGCAGGGTGGGCGAAGTGACATTTTGTGTCAACAACAAGAAGTATGGTTCATTGCTATCATGATCATTATTGAGATTGTTACTGCTTTTTATTTCAAAGCAAGATCCCCGCAGAGGACGTACCACACATAACGAAGCAGCACTGGAGCAAAACGTAGCAACAGCAGGACAGTCGAGACAGAACGTATAAAATGACATGCAACGGTCATCCAGACAGACCGGGTATGGACACTCTTGATTTAATAGAGACCTGAACCCCACACCTCAAGCACCCCTCGGGAGTAGAAGTTTAGGGTTTAGGGGTACTTAGAAATAATTTTTAAGTTTTGGTTATTATAATCCCCAAGAAACAGCTAAACACATAATTTTTGCTAGGGTTCTAAGTTCAGTATAGCTTAGGGGATTAGGACTTTGGGTTTAGTGTTGAGGGCAGGGTACAGTCACCGTTGGCAGGTACGAAGCCGCTGCAGCAGCTGTGGTTGGCTGGCATCCTTCTGGGATACGCTCGCTGCAATGATTTTGAGCCACTTGGACTCAGTAGTTCGGGCTCTTGGAGCCTTAAAATGGGCTTCACGGATGTTCAGGATTCGTCAAAACTATCTAGTTTTGAACGCAGGCTTTAGAGGTTTGGCGGTTTGAGGTTGTGTTTCTGTACGTGAGTTGTCACTGGGTCGCGTTTCGTGTCGTCCTGGTTGAGTATCCCAAAACGACCGAACTCAAAGACCTGAACTGTACGACCTGTGTGGCCGAGTAGTACACATAGGCACTAGGCGCCGACCCTTGGAATGCAGATGAATTTAGAGTTTAGGGTTTGCGACTACTTACAGTTTAAAGGTTGTTTGGAATGTCAATGTCCCAATATGCGACAGCTCAGACTAGTATGAATGCATAAAAAAGTTGCTTAGGATTTGGGGGGTTTTATATAGTGTTACGGAAGCCTTTTGTTGTAGCTAAGGTCCTTTATTTTGTTTCATGGCTAGAAGCGCCTGTTGGTTTTGGCTTTCCGCGTTATTTCGACATGGAGCCCTATATACCCGTAAACCCTAAACACCTAACCTAAAACCCTGCCCTCTCGATCCCCGAACCCTAAATCTTAAAACCCTTTCAGGCGTGGTTTCGATGGGATTGTGTAGACTGTGAGGCCGCGCAATATAGTGCCTGAATAACTGCCGATACTATGTTGAGGTTCCTGATTGTAATTAACTTATAATATACCCCAAAATCCTATTCTAATGATTAAGGACCCTATATTACCTGAGCACCGAACTGTCAGGCAGAAGCCACACACTTGTAGAGAGTCCCACATCCCTTGATTCATGCATATACCTCAGATTTTGTCCAGGATTATCGTAGAAGTAGAGTCGCGAGTCAAAGGCTCATCAAGAAGCCATGGGAACTCTTGAGAAAAGCCCTTGATCCCTTTTCAAACAGACATTCTTATGAAGCCAGATTAACATCCCAACCCCTGAACCCCAAGGCCCGACATCCCTGAGACAAAAGCTGAACTCTAAGCTCTAAACCCCCTAAACCCCTAAGCCTCCCTAAACCCCTCAAAAAAGGCACAAAAGAATTCAAATGCTTAAACCCCGAACCCCCAAAGCCCCTAAACCCCAAATCCCTAAACCCTCAACCCTAAACCCTTAAACCCTAAAACCCCTCAACAAGGCAAGAAGCGGAGAGAAGGCCTTGCCTACTGCTGCGTACGTTGCAACCACTGCGGCGCCGAGCAGGACTGTCCAGTCAGGGGGGGGCGGGGTGCAGAGTTTGGGGTTTAAGTTTAATGTAGGCTTCCTTTAACGCGTTCCTTTAGAAGGGCGTAGTGTGATATGGGGGCCTCAAAAACTAATTACCTATGCAATTTTTGGGGGGCTCCTGGTTATAATTATGGTATAATGGGCCCCGAAACTCTATTCCAACGTAGGGGTTTCGTGCAGGGGTTTCGTGCTTGTGGGTTGAGAGTTTCGCGTTTACGGTTAAGGGCTTCGGGTTTCGAGTGTTTGGTTCAGGGGCCAGGGTTAGGGCTAGGGTATTGAGTTGTCGGGTTAGGGTTAGGGCTAGTAAGTATTGTCGTGTAGGGTTCAGAATGAGTGTTTGGAGTTCTGTGGTTTAGGGTTTATGTCGGGGTTTAGAGTTTGAGTTTAGGTTCAGGGTCGTTTAGGGTCGAGGTTTTTTAGTTTACGGCTATGGTTAAAGGGCCTGGGTTCAAGAGTTGAGGGTTTAATGTTTTCGGTTTGTGGGTTGTGGGTTCAGTGTTCATGATTCCGGATAACATGGTTGAGGAGGTTTCAGGGGTGCACGGTTTAGAGTTTCCTGAGGTTTCAGGTTTGAGGTTATCCACAAGCTTCCATCGACCCTAAGCTCCCTTAAATGCTCATGGACTTTCCTAAACCAACCTGATCTTGCTCAGGCATAATTGCTTTGTGTACGCAACTAACTGGTTGCATCCCAATGTGCGAGGCATGAGAACCAGCGAGTTACATGGTCGTCACGCGAATTACAGTCCAAATTTGAGAAGTTGGGTAGTGAAGGGTAAGGCTTGTTGTTTATTGTTCGCCAAAAGGTTTATGATTGCTCTTTGATACCACGATAATCACTTCTATTGTTCTTGATGTGATTATACATGCTGTTGCTTTTGCTGTTTTGTTTTACCATCGTCTTCGTCATCGCTGCTATTGCCAACTCATTCTACATGGTCCATCATCTATCGTCGTTTGATGTGTCCAAACCCTGAACCCCAAAGCCTAAACCCTGGACCCTGAACCCTAAACCCTGAACCCTGAACCCTAAACCCTAAACCCTAAACCCGAAACCCTGAACCCTGCGTGCTGACGCTGACGGAAAATGGTGCTTAACAAAAACACCCGAAACCCTGAACCCTAAAGCCCAAGTCCGCCGCAAGACCATCGGAATGTGGTAGGAGCCGGTCTTCACCCTCCGCAAGCGCCTGCCTCGGGTGCGGCCCCCACAGTGGCAGGGTTTCAAGTACTGTAGGGGCCTTACTAGTTAGAATGGGGCTTTTGGGGTTCCTTATCATAATCATAATAGTTAGAATGGGGCTTTTGGGGTTCCTTGTTATAATCATAATAGTTAGAATGGGGCTTTTGTGGTTCCTTGTTATAATCATAATAGTTAGAATGGGGCTTTTGGGGTTCCTTGTTATAATCATAGTAGACTATATCCCCATATTTTCTACAATGACGAGAGACAGCATGACTTATTGATCTTTCCGTTCGTGTGCCTGGTGTTGCACCAGTAGTATATAGCCGAGACTGTTCGGGTTGGTTTGTGCATACTCTGTTGCAGCACAGGGTGCCAAGATCTGCCAAAGTTCCATTATCACATCAACGGCAACTACGGTTTTCCGCAGTTCAGTTTAACTAACGGCCGCGTAGTTCGTTCAATCCTGCATGATGGTCAAGGTGACCGAATCCTGCCGAAATTCCGATGATGTTAGGCAGAGTAAACAGCTGTTTCTCACAGTCATTTCATTTTACGTGATGTTGCTTCAGAGGTGGTAGTTCAATCAAGCTGCCTGCGACAAGCTCTCAACCTCGACGACATGCTTGCCAGGGCTGAGGCAGCTGAGCGCCGAGCCGATAGGGCCGACCGCCGCCCGGCCCCGCCAGGCACCAAACAGAGGGGGCAACAGACGGTCCTGCGCCTCTACCTGCAGCTGTTGTTAGCGAGGGCTCCGTGACGGCACCCGAGCACTTGGAGGGCATCTTTCTGGTTGTGGGACAGGACTACGTCCCAGAAATGGTGCACATCCGCTTACCCACTGCTGTTCCGGTCCATGTGGCAATCAATGCGGTAAACGCGGGGCGCATCCCTGATGCCCGCCTGCGTCTGCCACGCGTGACGGCCGTCAACCCTCAACCCGTGCTGGGCATCGGCATTCTGCTTGCTACCCCTTTGTGGGACCTCCCAGGAGCGGTTAGACGTATACAAATCTGCTTCCTGGACGAACGAACAAACCCCGAAGCCGTCATCTGTCCAACCGAAACCCCCAAACCCCAGAACCTACACTCTAAACCCCAAGCTGGAAAGCCTTGTGAAGGTTATTTGTTTCCAAATCCCAATCTGTATCTCTTCTCCCTGAACCCTAAACTTGAAGCCTGTTTGTTCTGCTCATAAGCTCTTAACCCTAAACCCTGACCCCTGAAGCCCTAAACCCCATACAGTCCCCATACATACGCTAAACCCCAAAACCCTGTAGCTAAAGCCCTACACCCCTGACCCTATGCCTTCAACTGCGAACGGCTTAACCCCTTTAATCCCAAGCCCCGAAAGGTCTAAACCCTTAATCCCTACAGCCCCAAGTTCTTTCAGAGAACAAAGGCAAGCCTTAAATCCCAAACCCTTGAATCCTCAACCCCCAAACCCCTAAAGCCCTGAATCCTCAACCCCCCTAAACCACTCGAAAAATGGTTGTCACGAGTGGAAGTCTTCTTGTCTGACGACTACCAGTGTGAGAGTTGTTTCTTGCATTTTCGGTGGCGACTTTGCCCATGGCATCGTACATCTATACTTGGGAGCCGGGGTGAGCAGGCGAGCAAGAGCGAGTTACCCCATTTTTTGAAGCCCCTAAAATCTAACTATAGAACCAGGCTATAGATCCCCTGTAGCACTCTTTATACAAGAGGAACCCTTTAAAGGAGCCCTATTCTAATTCTTAAGCCCCTAGAATCTTGGCCCCCTTCAGAGAACACATGCAGGCCCTGATCGACAAGAGCAGCAGCGAGCTGAGCCTGGTTCTGCAGGGGGATGTGGCTGGACAGATCCACCTGCTGACGCTGGAGGACGGGTTCCTTTAAAGGGAACCAGTCAGGGTGCCTTCAACGGACCCTATAAAGGATCTACAAAGGTTTAGGGTCTAGGGGCCTGAGGGGCTTTAACTTCAGGCTTTAGAGGTTAGGGGTTTAGGGGCTTTAGGGGTTTAGGGTTTAGGGCTTTAAGGTTTAAGGTTTAGGAGCGGTGTCAGGGCCAACATGGGCAAAAAGTAGGGTGTTAAATGTTTGGTTGTCCGGGTATTGTTTAGTGGGCTGTTGATGTTAATATAGGGTTGAGGGGAGCATTGATAACTAGTTCTTATGTTTTATTGTTGTTTATATTGTTATAGTTTGTGTTTCTCATGTTGCGGGTTGTCCTTTACTTGGTTTTTACATACACTGTCTGCAGGGATTTATCATTAGTCGGTAGTTGAGGCTAGCTGCAGAGCCTAAATGCTGTACCCCAAGCTCTTTAAACCTTAAACCATGAACCCAAAACCCTGAACCACTAAGACCCCTAAAACCTGCTCCCTAAGCCCTATGACCTTGGAGAAGCGACGATTGGAGGCGAATGTGATCTGAGAGCCCCGGGGTTCCTTTCTGCACTTTCCGCTACCTGCGGATTCTGCTGACCTTAACTGCTAGGTGGAAAAGGCTTTCAACAAAAACGCATAAGACCCTAAACCCTAAAACCCTAAACCTTAAAACCCCTAAAACCCTAAAGCCCTAAAACCCTAAAGCCCTAAAGCCCTAAAACCTTAAAGCCCCAAAACCCTCAAGCCCTAAAACCCTAGAACACTGAAACCTAAAGCCTAAACCCCGAAGACCCCCAAACCCCTAAACCCCCCAAACCCCCCACACCCCCTGGGCCAAGGCAGTGGGACTGCATCCGAAAAGGGTTTAGGGTTTAGGGTTTAGGGTTTAGGGTTTAGGGTTTAGAGTTTAGGGTTTAGGGTTTAGGGTGTAGGGGCTCCAAAACCCCTGGGTCCGCTGGAGGAGTGCCTGCGCCGCATCCAGGAGAGACACCTGGCCGACCTTGCCACCGAGGAGCCCTGAGGATGCTTTGTTTAAAGAGTGTAGGGTTTTGGGGTTTGAGGATTTTAAAATAGGGCTTTAGAGTTTTATGGTGTAGGGTTCAGGTTTTGAGGGTTTTAGGGCTTTAGAGTTTTACGCTTTAGTTTTCAGGGTTTTAGGATTTTAGGGAAGGAAATGTGGAATACACTTCAGGGTGTAAAACGGCATGGTAAGGGTTCTGTAAGGGCTTTGTAGGTTTGTGTTGGAGAAGGGTTCCTACTCAGTCTTGAAGGTATAAATTTCAGGGTCACGAGAAAGGGTGGAGAGTTGGGGAGGTATGGTCTAGTAAGGGGTTGAGGGGTTGGGCTCCTGTGTTGCAGGGTAGGTTTCGGAGTGTCGGGGATTGGGTTTCAGCGCTTGAGGTTTAAAACCTTGCTGCTGTCATCAATTTTGTGCCTTAGGGTTGAAGGGTTGAGTCGTACTTTCGGTCTCAAGGTAACAGGGCCTATGCGTCAAGGTGTAGAGCTCAGAGGGCTTTTGTGGTATAGGAGGATGGGCTAACCTTCCATTGCGATTGATTGGTAAGGTCTGAGCTTTCCACATCCATGGTCACAAAGAAGTTCGGACTAGAGGCTTGGGCGTGTTTGCATCCTCAAATCCTTCAGGGCAACCCCGAAAACCCCTGACAATGACCCGTAATGACCTCGAAAAATCTCGAATAACAGCCCTGAACCCCTAGACCCAAATACGCTAATTCCACCCCAACCCCCTGGTGCATAGTAGGGAAAGGGGGGATGGATCCCTTTTGGAGTCCCTATATGATCCCCAATAGTAGCTCCCATAGCTTGGCCCATAACCCATTCCCCATTCCCTACTAAGAACCAGACGGCAAACCCCTGAACCCCTAAACCCTAAACTCTAAACCCCTAAACCCTAAACCCTAAGCCCCTAAACCCTAAGCCCCTAAACCCTAACCCCGTAAACCCTAAACCCCGAAGGCTTTCGTCTTGGTGTCCTTGGACTTCGGGCTCGGAGGGTCTCCCAGGGCTTTCCACGAACGGCACTCCGAATCCCCAGTCTCGAAACTCAAAAGCCCTGGGAGGTCGAATCAAGCCCGGTGTTTTAGGCTTTTGGGGTTTAGGTTCTAAGGTTGATGTTTTTATTTTGAGCGGGGGGTTAGGTTTTAAGGGGCTTAGGGTTTAGGGGTTTAGGTTTCAAGTGGTTTAGGCTCTAAGGGGTTTAGGGTTTTGGGGTGTATGGTTTTGAGGTTGTGGGCATTGGGCTTTAGGCTTCGGTTCGTCCCCGACACCCTGATACAACAAACACCAGATCACATGTAAGGATAAAGTGGTAGTGATGGCATCGGCATCTGTTAAACGAGAAGCAGTAGCAGTAGCAGTAGCAGCAGCATTATTCAATAGAAGTAGTAGTACTAGTACCATAGTATGCTAGTACTGGTATTACTACCTGAGCCTACCAAACCCTACCGTTGTGCAGGTTCTTTGAAAAACCCGAACATGGAACCGATAGGGACCCTACAAAAAGATAGGTTTCGGTAGGTTAAGGTAGTTGCTAGTTCTTGTGCAGTAATAGTGATCGTCACCTAAAAGTCTAGTTTGCGCCACCACCAGGAGGAGCTTCTGGATGAAGACCCTGAGGCAGAAGTTGGGAGTACTGCATTAGGATGGTGTTCCTGTACAAGGTTCCTTTAAAAGGGTCCTATAAGGGTTACTACTACAAGGGGTAGTATGATGTAGGGCCGAAATAGTTGCTATTACATTTTTTTGGGGGGGGTCCTTGTTATTATACCGTATACTAGCTTAATGGGCCCCAAAGCCCTGTTCTAACTATTGATGCCCCTATATTAGTTTCGTCGTTTCGTGGTGTCAGAGTGGCATAAGTCTTTCAACATGGCGTGATGATGGTGAGGAAGATGATTCAGGTTGGCGCTGTAACTGTTGACGGTGGAGATGATAGCCTTGAAGGATATGCTGCTGGTGATTGCGATGATGATGCTCTGAATACTGGTCATGAGTTACACTGTGAGCCGTCATACGGCGGCAACGAGGGCTACGACTGTGACGACGGCGGCGATGACGACGGCTTTGCAGCCGCAGCCGCAAGCATCAGCCTGAGCCAGCGACCCGTAAAACCCTGAAACCCCTTATCACCTCCGAGCATGCTTATTTTCGTTGTGGTTAATATTCGTACCCCTATTCTTGCTCTTATATTTATTGGTATTATTATTTTTCCTAGTCTGCTTCCTCTCATGTTTCTTATTCTTATTTTTGTTGTTTTTGTTATTACTATACCCAGTTTTCTTATTCTTCCTACTTATCCTAATATGATGATGATGACGATGATGATGATGATAATTATTGCCATTTCTTCTATTTTGTGACCATGTCTGTTATTGCCAGTATTTTTGTTAGCGTGTGCATTAGTCTTACCTGAGCTCTGGAACCCTAAACCCTAAACCCCTAAACCCGTAAATGTAAACCCTAAACCCCTAAACCCCTAAACCCTCAACCCCTCAACCCCTAAACCCGTAAACCCTAAACCCCCAAACCCTAACCCTAAACCCTAAAGCTCTAAGCCCTAAACCCAGTCCTGAGCCGGTTGCCAGGTCTATTGGTGCCTGCAGGTCTTTTTTGGCTTGCGCAGCGAGGCGCACCCGGTATTCGCCATCTCGAGATGTCTCGAGATTTCATAGCATCTTCTGTACCTACAGACATGATCATACAACTGCTTGTCATGGCGACGGCGATGTCATCAACATGCTTTTGATCTGTGTGCTGAGATGCGAGCAGCCCGTATGAATCATAGTGCAACCATGGAACTTGCGGGTGACACAGGAGCACTGAATCAGGGAGTTCTGTCCACAGCCATGGAATGCCAGTCCCGAAACTTCAGATCCGATCATCCAAAGGCTGCAAGGCCCGGGTACATTCCGATGTCCACAAGCCGCCAATCCTAATTACCAAGCCGTAAGAAATCATTCAAGTAAAGCTTGAGTTCAAAACCACCAAACATGATCAACGCCACACAACAAGCCCCAGAAACTATTAAATCCTAAACGCAATCCGAGCCTTTGCCAGGTCTTCTGAACCTTAAACCCTGAACCCAATCCAAGCCTTTTGCCAGGTCTTTTGAACCCCAAGCCCTGTACCGAATCCAAGCCTTTGCCAGGTCTTCTGGCGTCGCGGGCGATGCAGCGCCGTGCGCTTGTCCTCGTGGTCCTTCCAGACCCTTTGCAGGTCGGCTTTGGAATTGTGGTAAACCCTAAGTAATCCCTAAACCCTTTGGGTTTGGGGGTTTCGGGGTTTAGGGTTTGGGGTACTCACAGTGCGGATCATTTTCGTCGGGTTTGGGTTTAGGCTGTACAGGGCTACGGGCTTCAAGCTTTGAGGCTGTAGGGCCAGTCTTTAGCAAATGGGGGTTCAAGGTGGGCATCGGCGATTGGTTACGGAGTGAGCGCCGGCATTTTGATTAGGTCTGCGGGCTTTAGGCTTTGGGCGCATGGGAGCATTTGGGGTTTGGGGTTGTGTTCAGGTTTTTAGTCGTAAGGCGAAGAGAGCCTAAGGGCGAGAAACGCCCACGACACCGGTCGAAGACGAAGCATCGTCACTGTCGACTGACAAAGTGTGCGCTGTTTTTTCATCATCGGTTGTCACCAAACAAGAACAAAAGGTGCATGCAGCAGCACCGGTTTAACAACTCTGCTCCATCATGTCGCTTTTGGACTTTCGTCGTCCTTGGGCAGTGGTCTCCATTGTGTGCAGCTGCAAACGACGGTTGTGATGCCTGGAGGCGTGTCCTATTTAGCCATGTTCAAATTGTCCAACATCCTGTTGTCGGTGGTACTCTTCCTCCGGGCCATCCCGAGGTGGGCCTCAAACCTCGTACCAGTACGTGACACGAAGACATAAAGAAGTCAAACATGCATCCCAACTTAGGCTTGGAGACCACAAGGCCTGAGGATATGGATCGCAGAAATCACTATGCCCAAGCCTTCGCCCCTTAGAGTTTAGGCTTTGGGGTTTAGGGTGTGACCGTGCATACCCTGACACCCGTAAACTTTCAAACTTACATCCATAGGCCTTAAACCCATGGCCCATAACCCATAGACCCTGAATCCATATCCTAGAAACCCATAAAACCTGCGAGGCACCCCGTCCAACTGCAAGTCTCAAGCACTCTGCCCTAAATCTTCTGGGAGTCTTTTTGAGGGTTCGCGGGCGTTTGAAGTGGTTTCATTCTGCTTAATAACAACTTAAGTATATATTCAGCTCAGATTAGGGTTAGAACACCATGCCATAAAGATCCCAACCCCCCCGAAGATGCATTGTTTTTTTAAAAAACCTAAACCTATGGATTTTTAAAAAACCTATGCATTGGTTCCAGGAGCTACATCTCTCCCGAGCAGCGGTCGAAGGGCATCGAGGCCTCATGGGGTCAGGATGGGGGAGGTTTAGGGGTTTAGGGTTTAGGAGTTTACGGATGTTTGGGTTTAGGTTGTTGCATAGAAGCCTGAAGAGTTACCCAACCTTATTCCTTGGGACTCAGTATAAAAACACTGTAGTTACTGTAGTGAGTATGTCTCAGAAAGAGCCCCTGACCCCTTGAACTTTCGGGTTTCGGGGTTCAGGGTTGAAGCCAAACTGCAGCCGCGTTCAGACGAGCAAGGTCTGCGTAAGCACTCGTGGGAGTTTGCAAGGAAGGAGAAACCCAAACTTTAGGCTCCTGAGTAGTACCCTTTTGCCCTTTTTATTTTAGGGGCTCCCTCATGAAAACCCAACAGTAGGAAAAAGGGTACCCTTATTATACGCGGGCTACTCAGGAACCTAGAACTTGACCTTAAACCGTTTGTCAAACACAGGCTCCGACCGTCTGGACATTCTGTCAGACTTGCGGTACGTTTTCAGCATCAGCACGTCGAGTGTGAGTTTGGCAGCCAGAGAAACTCGTGACCAAAGCTCACTGAATCCCCGGGCTTATCCTGAGCTCCTGATCCAAAATGTGAACAGATGGCTCTTCCTTCCAAAAGCAGGCTGGAGGAAGTAGGAAGAGCAAGACCAACTCAAGTCCATGTCGACACCATTGCAGCTTATTGATCCACCGAGCATCAAGCGATTCTGCAAATTCGACTGTAACATGCACAGTTCCCCTCAAGGTTTTCCCCTGCTTGGGTTCTGCAGATCACAGTTGGCGTTTGGGGTGAAGGATGCAGATCACGTTTGGCATTTGGGACGAAGGATCTGGAGCATGTTGCTCGTCAGCTTGCTTGTAGGTTCATGGGTAGTTATAAGTGGGGTTACAAGTAGGGTAACTTATGACTACCCATGAACATCCAAGTGAGGTATTCGTATTCGCTGTATCTTGCAAAGAGCACGATGCCTGTCCCAGATGCTGCTTCGGCTGCGAGTCTGTAATGATCGGGAGTCATTCTTTATGTCCGAAGCCGGCAATGCAACCCCGAACAGGAACTCTAGCCCTTCAGCATTGAATCCTGAACCGGAACCCTGCAAATCCGAATCCTCAAAAACCAGTCGGAAAGAATCAACAAAGCAAACACCTTTCGAAGTCCGAGACTAAACACTGAACCCCGGACATAAAACCCTATACATGTCCGAATAAAAGCCTGTCGCAGGCGAAAAGCTCAACCCCAAGACCCAAGGTCCAAAACCCACCACCCTAAACCTTAACCTGGCCACCTCGGCCTTCCGTAGGCTTGAACAGTATGGGCAGACGGAAAAAGTGCTGAAAAACAACAAACCTTAACCTTTTGAAACCATCATCCCTAACCCCTAAACTTCTAAACCCCTATAAGCCTGAACCCTAAACCCTAAACCCCTAAGCCTAAACCCTAAATCCCTAACCCCTACACTCCAAGCCCGTCTTTCGATTTCGGGGTTTGGGTATTTGTCGTTGCCAATGCCAGGAGCATCGGAAGCTGTCGGACTCCTTCGGAGGCAGAGTGTCTGGGGAATTCGGACACTCAGACAGGGGTGCTTTAAGGATTGTTACTCCCATAGGCGTTTTCCCTTCATTACCTATACTATTTGGGGGGTTCCACAACCTAATTACAGCATAATGGCACCCAAAATCCTATTCTAACTATTGAGGCCATCCACTACGATTTCGAGTTTGAAGACGGGGTTTGTGCGGTTTGGGGTTTTACCGGGGTTCGGGGCGCGATTGGGGAATCAGCCAGTGACTTCAGGAAAACCAGCTCAATTCCAAGTTTTGGGACGGACCCCCCCCCCCAGCCAGCTCCGGCTTCCGGGTGGAAGCTCCTACTACAGGGGCCTTCATAATCATCTATACTATTTTGGGGGTTCCTTATTATAGGTATGTTGTAGAAGAATGAGCCCCAAACTGTTCGAAGGTATTAAGGCCCCCATATTGCACTCAAACCCTACCTACCAGAGTGGGGAAAGAATGAAGTATATACAAGAGACGATTTATTTGGGAGCATCGGTCTCAAAACGAGTTGACCCCAGTCAGGAAATCCGTAGACGAATCTCTGCTACAATGGTCATCTTAAAAAAGCTGGACATCTTTTGGCTTAAAGCGAATTGTAACAAGAAATGGAAGTTGTTGGTCTACAACGCCGTCATTACAAGCAAACTTCTTTATGGGTTGGAGACATTGGAACCCACAGAATCAGCGGGAAAATTGCTCAATACTTTTCAGCTGAAAGGATTGCGAAAAATTCTTCAGTTGCACACTACGTTCATTAATCGCAGCAAGACAAACGAGTACGTGTACAAAAGAGCTAACGAAGTCACGAATGCCCCAAGCGCGGGCATACACCGAAAAATCAAGCCCCTCACAGAAGTTCTCGGAGAACGGAGACTAAAGCTGTTAGGACATGTGTTACGTCGGGACCGCCAACATCCGTTGCATCAAGCCGCTTTCAAAACGCAGTCTGCTGTGCCAAGAGAAACAGAACAACGGAGAGTAGGCCGTCCAAGACAGTTTTGGACTACCACGAATATGGAAAAAGCTTGGAACATAATCACATCAAAAGATGTCTCGGTTCCGAAGGTGCCTTTCAATAAACACGACCGAGCAATACGAGAGACGATTATTGATCATGCCAGAAGATACCAACCACCTTTCCAGTGATCATACATCTATTGAACGTCGCAAGTGTGTTGGTGGGACTCAGCTATTATAAACAAATCGTTGTGAAGCAGCTCGATGTGAAGTCTCTATGTGAAGAAACTCAGTGTGAAGCTCAGTGTGAAGTTCTCTCTGTGTGAAGTAACTCAGTGTGAAAGCCTTCTATAGGAGTCAAAGAAGTGTAAAATCAGTGTTTATGAACACTCATTGCAACAGTGACGCCGGGACCGTAGTAAATTAGCAGGAAGTAGGTTAGCGCCAACGACTTGTTGCTTGTGCTGCAAGTTAAGGTAGTAAAAAAAAAGAGCCGTTTAAAGGAACCCTTATAGCACCCTTATAGTAACCCTTTAAAGGAACCCTAAAGTAGAATGACCAAGATACCTTAAACAAGATGAATGTACCATTGCTTGAAGCGTCATATGCCGTTTTTATAGGTACATTGGTTACTCTTGCTACACCCTATATCCTAAAACCTTTGTGGTCCAAGAGCTCAAATTTGCACTTAACTATGGGGTTCTCACACGGCAGTCTTATTCTAAACGTGTGAACTTTTCAACCCATGGGTAGTCGGGAAGTACAAACCCGGGATGGAAGGTGCGATTCTCTCCGACGCGCCGGGTGGGACGACAAGCATCTCGGGCAAGGCATCGTTTGGGGGTGATGAATCATCGAAATGTTTATAGGATAGGGTTTAGGGTTTGGGGTGTTTGGGGGAGTTATACTGTAGGTTGCGAGTTCATTGTCCTAAATAGAGAGTCGAGTGACTAGCATTCACGCGCTTCTGGCCCGAACTAGCAGCAATAGACTGTCGGGAGCACTTTGCTGCAGTGATGTGCGGTTAATGCGCAGGCGAATCAATCAAGAACTTGACTCTAGACATCTCTCGACTCTTATGGGAGCTAAACACCAGGATTCGGGTTTAGGGTTCATCGCCCGTCAGGCTTCGACCGCAGAGTTGCCTTGAAACATCCGAATTAAAACCGGATGGAGACACATAACCGGCTCCTGCAGTGGTTCTCAAGTGGCGGTTCGTCGAGGGCTTCGACTGGCATGTTGTGATACTGTTCTTCAGGTAATTTTAGAGATTTGGAGTTTAGTGTTTCTGGGTGATGGGCTTCGAGTTATAATTGTTTAGCATGGCGGCACATGCTTACACTCGGGAGCTCTCAAAGCGGCCCTAGGGAGCTATCAAAGCGGCCCAAGGGGGTGGGTAAAGGAGGAGTAACAAGGTTTTTCGATAAGAAGCATGAGAGCCGCATGATCCTGATGAGAGTATAGGGGCCTAAATAATTACCAATACTATTTTAGGTGTTCCTGATTATACTTATAGTATAGTGGGCCTCAAAACCCCATTCTAATTGTTCAGGACCCTGTATTAGTCTGCTTGGTGTTACGACTCGCAAGATTCAGCATAACAAGGTCAAGCGCCATTATGACTTAAGGCAGTGTTATTGATAGCCGAGTCATCTCAAAGCCGGTGTTCTGCTGGAGATCGTAAGACCAGAAAGCCCTGAAATGAACCCAAACATCTACAACACTATTTGGAGGTTCATGGCTAGTTATAAGCGGGGTTCAATGTCCCTTAACATGGGTTATAACTATAGCTAGCCCAGTTACAACCCCACTTGTAACTTCCCATGAACCTCCAAGTAGAGAGAACGAGCGAGTATGCTATGCATGATATCCCCGCCAGCCCATTCCCGTATATAAGTCTACCGGATCGGAGGCTTCCGTGATGCTTCCCTCCGGCTTCGACAGACAGGACCGAACCCCGGTTAAGGGCTTGGGGTTTAGGGTTTAAGGCTTAAGGCTTAGGGTTTAGGGCTTCCAGGGTTCAGGTTTACGGCGTAGGGCCTAGGGTTTAGGGTTCAGGATCAACCCCCTCGGGCCGCTTCCCAAACCTAAGACTCTCGGCTGATTTGCAGAAGGGCTGCTGAGGTAGTTTACGGGGATCTGCAGGGCTTTGTAAGGGTTTAGGTCTACGCGGGCTTACTTACTCCAGAATAAAATGATCTTAGACTTAGATTTGAAAACGGGCCTGGAGTGCAGGATACAGTACAAGTATATAGAGTCTAAGGTGTGTTTATTCTTGATTTATTCCAAGCGCTACTTCATGTCTACAGAGACAATACTATGCTTTTCAAGCGTTTGAGGAAGTGGAAGGACTACCCTTTCGGTACTGCCACCACTCAGTAACAGTTGAATAATATGCTAAAACTATTAGGCCCTTAACAATAGCCTTAGTATAGACTACTCGTATTATAGATAAATTAGGCCCTTAATTCATAGCAGCCCCGTTATAGACTACGGAAAAAATAATGAACCCAGGGACCCCAAGCCTTCAACCCTAAACTCTCCCTGGACCCGAAAAAGTGATCAGAAAAATTGACTTTTATCGGTATCGGGCCATTGTTTTACCAATTTTTGAGGGTCTAGAAAAATGGACGTGTATAGGTCGTGGGCCATTCTTTTACCTACGTTTCGGGGGTTTAGGAAAGCCTTAAACCCTCAATTAGGCCGACACCTCAAACACCAGTCCTTAAACCCTAAACCTTACGTTCCGTAGCTTCCTAACTCCTACACCTCATCAATCAGTCGCCAGTCAAGGCCCAGCAAAAAACAACCCTGACAGCTCCGGGGAAGCTTTACTGTAGCACAGTATGTAGCACATGGGTTACAAGACGAAGAGCTCCAATTTGGGCACACACACATATATATATATATACATACATACATACATATTTGTACATGCATACGCATAAATTTCGTTTGTTTTTGTGTTCTCAGCGTGCGAGGATGTAGCTTTTTCAGACGAGTGCTGTCTACGTCAGACGAGGGCCTGGCAGCAGAAAGCTGCGTTTTCCTTGTGTTACAGAGCCTCGGAAGAATATGTAAGTTACAATATTTTTTGTAGGCTTTGGAAACCCCCGTAGCGGTCCTGAATTCTGAACCCTGTATCTCTAGCTTTGCTGCCCCAACCCGGCTGGATTTGGAGACTTAGGGGTAACCTAACCTAAACCACCCCCTAAACCCTCAACCCCTAACCCTGAATCATATGGAATCTTAAGTTAATGTGCAGTAAGATACTTGGAGGTTCATGAGTAGTTATAAATGGAGCCAGAAGTCACCTAATATGGATTGTAACTATAGCTACCTTACTTATAACCACACTCATAACTACCCATAAACCTCCAAGTACAGAAAGACAGGTCTCAGAGGAGCTGGGGCTTGGCGATCTTTGCCACAAAGTCTCGTCAAGGAGACATGCAGGCACCGGCCATTGAGAGCCATCCGAAGCCTAAAAGCAGGATCGACTGAAGAGCGACAGTTACTTGTAGTGTCTTTCATTTACCGCGCCATCCGTATTGAACCTCGTAGAGACGGACTTTCTCGATCTCAGCGTACGCACACACGGATTGCACATGCGCGTCGGGACGCGGAGAAAGACTTGTATGCGTCAGCACCCACACACACAGAGACAGACTCATAGATTGGCAGCTTCATTTCGGTTTCAGCATTTCGCCTTTTCGGATTTATGCCGGGATCGAGCTCATACGGCCCTGGACCCAAGCTGAGGTGTCAAAGTTCACAGCGCAATGTCGAAAATCAAGACCCTGCGCCCTCATTCAATCGTCAGGTCCAAGCTCACGAAATGTTGAGTTTTGAAGCAATGACTTTCCCGTAGGCTCCATCGTAGTTACTTTTGGGGCTTCATATTTAGAACCCTATCAGGTAATCCCAAAATGGAACTACTATGGAGGTCAGGGTCTTCATATCCGGACCCATAAAGATGTGTCATGTATCTTGCATACATAGTTTCGTGTGTGTATATATATATACATATACATATATATATATATATATATATGTATATGCATTATATATATATATATATATATATATATATATATATATGTATACACACATATATATATATATATATATACACATCTAGATGTAGAATTGATATAGACGTATGTAGCCACGTACGTATGTGTGTGTGTGTGTATGTCCGTATGTATGTGAAAGTATTTATTCACTTACCCATGTACTCAAAGTATTGCAACCACGGGATCCTACACATCCCAACCGTCTTTGAGCATAGCGACCTCAGAGAGCCCCACAGCTTTCATTACCTAAGGCGCTGTGCCCGGAGCGTCACTAAACCCTAGAGCCCGAGAACTCATTTCGACGGCGCTAGCTGAGCCGGGTTGCGATTATTGGTCTTCGTGGTATGTATACATATATATATATATATATATATATATGTATGTATGTATGTATGTATACCTGCATACATACATACATTCATACATGTATACATGCATATCGAAACAGATACCTATATATTCAGACATTGCTATGAGCACTGTGGGTTTTCAGCTTCCAGCGAAAGCCCCAATGCACTCAACCCTATCCCCTCGAACAAACAGCCCACAAGCCTCCAAACGCCCACAAGCACCCTGAACCCCCAAACCCAAAATCCTTGAAGCCCAAAGATTTCGAGCCCTGAAGCCCTCTGCTTTCCTGTTCCCGGAGGCTCAGCCCACAACCTCAAGCCGTGGCAGCCTAGTGTAGACCTGGGACTGCAAGCCATGTCCCGTAGTAAGGAGTACAAGAGCGATCTTAATGTTAAGCCCTTTACAGGGGAGGTTCATTAACCAGGGGCATACAGGAATCAGACCTTTCGCCTGAGCACCCTGCCGCAAGTAACGGCGAGAAAGTTGGATCCTATGCCAGTAACATAAGGCTTGCGGGGTTGGCAGGACTGGTCATCCTTAAACCGTGTTCCGCCTTTCTTGAGTTTACGCTACGTGCAATCCTCAAAACCTTCTAAACTCCTGAAACCTTGCCTGGTTGACCCTGATTCCATCAAAACACCAACAACTCCCTCAAGCCTGAACCCTTCAAGCGTTTGGTGTTTAGGTGGATTTAGGGCAAAGACTCTAAACCCGAAACCCTGACCCCTCTACCCTTAAATCTTAAACCCCTCAACCGAGAGCCGGAAGCCTTAAAGAACCGGAAGGCTCGGATATGCCCGGCGCCCTGCCTTCGCCGCGGCAGAGTCTGGACGGGGACAGCAGAGGCAGGGTTCAGGGGTTCAAATTCGCTGCTGTGGAAATATATGGGGCAAACCCCGAACCCCGAATCCCTAAACCCTAATCCCTAAACCCTAAACCCTAATCCCTAAACCCTAAACCCTAAACCCTAAACCCTAATCCCTAAACCCTAAACCCTAAACCCTAAACCCTAAACCCTAAACCCTGACCAGCCCTAGATCCCCCAAATTGCTAGGGTTTATAGCCTAGGACCCAGAGTAGGCCCTTATTCCCTTTTTGGGGGGTTCAGGTTCCTTTATAAGCCCCTTTAAACCAAAAAGGGCACCCTTTTTATGCCTAGGTCACTCTTGGGTCTAGTAGCGTCTAGGGTGTAGGACCCGAAGCCAATCCCCTACCAGCCCGAAACCCTGAGGCTGCAACCTTCAAGCTATACTGATTCCGGATAGTACCTCCATCTTCAGTTCAAGAGCCCATGTGGTACCCTTAAAACAACCCTGTTCAAATAATTAAGGTCCCTTTTCCAAAACCCGCGAAAGCAGCTTGTTTGAAGCCTTATGCAACCCTAACAAAGCCCTAGTTCAATTAAGGAGCATTCAAAACCAGTTTCAACGAAGGCCCCTTGTGGTAAAGGGCCTAAATCCTAAACTCTAAAATGCTGAGCCTTGTAATCCCGAAAACTTCAAGCCCGAAAAATCCTAAACCCAAAAACCCTAACAGCTCTAAACCCAAATCCTAGAGGCCCTGATCCCGAGCCTGCGACCCTCAGGTAGCTTCCGTCTTGAGCGACTAAGCGGTCGTCGCACAACGCTGGTGACCCTCGGATTCGCATGGAGGATTTGGGGTTTACCGTTTAGGGCCGCTTACGGCTTAGGGTTTAGTGTGCCAGTTTAGGCTTTAGAGTTTAGAGTTCGCGTTTAGAGTTAAGAGTTTAGGGTTTTGCATAGAGGGTACTGGTTAAGGGTACTCACGAGGATGCCTGAAGGGTATTGTCAGGGTATGTTTAAGGCCGTTACAGGGTTCAGGGAGCTACAGAGGTGATTTAAGAGTTCGGGTTTGATGTTTTAAGTTCAGGGTTTTGGCTTTCGGTTTCATCAGCGTTTATGCCTCAGCGGGAAAAGAACACAAGGATCCCGTGTTTGTGTCAGTATAGATGCCCAGGGTTTATGTGGTCATCTGCTCCCCAATCGTTCCAGGATGAACTAGACTTCGGGCTTCAGAAGCGCTCCAAGCTTCTAGAGGGTCTTCGGTGCAGGTCAGCTTCTCGGCTTAGCGTTTCGATTTCGGGTGAATCTGTGTTCCAAGTGGTAGTGCGAGGTCAAGACAATTCCTTCCTGGCTAGATGTGGGGAGGTGCGGGACAGTCTGCTTTGTCGGGGTTAGCAGGGTGGCTTTATTCGGGGACTGAAACGGTTACTGTCTGCTACTTCAAGCTTACCCTGCTTGAGCAACCGTTGCAGGTGCGTGCTGCGCTCAACACTGCCCATACCACCGTCCTGGCAAGAAAAGACGACGAGAAAGAGTAGAACGAAGATGCAAGGAAGTGGGCGAGCACATAAGCAGCAGCTGTCAGAACCGCGGCTGTTCCAATGGCCATGACGACGATTTCTATCATCAGCATCGTGTCAGGCAAAGATGAAGTTAAGCATGCCTTGACTATCCTCCTCATGGTCGTTGCCTCAACATCTTCGTCACAGTCATCAGCATCATCGTTGTCGTCCCGCTGCAGGTTGGCGATGCATGCAACCAACACCCCTGCGCCCTGTGTCACACGCGCAGACACACATCCCAGGAACTTGGACGACATTCCCGAGCTGGCACCCCAGGATGTCATTCCGAAAGTCAGGGTTCCGGGCATTTTGAAGCTCTGAGGGTTGAGGGAGTTGCAGGAGTGTAGTCGCGGAGCTCAAGTGCGAGTTAATTGATCCAATGTTTGTTATCTTGATTCCGGGTTACTCTTGACTTCAGAAATTACATTGACCGCATCGTCTCGTAACCTGGCATAAGGAGAGTCAGCCGCCTCTTCCTCCTGCCTCCAACAATGTGTCATCAGCGTCATCGTATCCACCATCACCTCATCATCGTCATCGCCACTTTCTGTGCGATATTTTGCCTACACTCAGTGAGCCCCAACAGGCCGTTGCAACTCAAGCTTGAGGCAGATGCTGTTGCAGCCTGAAAGGGCTTTGGGATGTAGGGCTTCAGCCCTCAACCCTACGCGACCATCAAGGAAGTACTGCTTAGACCCTCAAATTAGGATCCTACTCTGCAGGTTAGGGTTCCGCTTGTTGCTTTTGATGGATATTGGGGGTTTAGGGTTTAGAGGCTCGGCGTTTAGGGGGAACTTGGGGAGTGAGTATTTGCTCTTCTGCACATGACTTGCATCTCTCTAATACAGGTCATGGCCGTGAAGCCTTGACCCAGCCCTAAACCCTACCTTGAGGCGAGCAATCCTTTTTAGGATTGTTAGGTTTCCGCACTATGGTTTCCAGTTATATCTATCTATATCTATCTATATTTCCTTGAAAAGGTAGGTTTGTGGGCCACAGGTATCCTAACATTTTACCCTTAGCCCTCGAAAACCCAAGCTGAGGGCGATGGCACACTTGCAAGATGCGGCAAGCGATGTGTCCTCTCCCTCCGGACGAGGCCTTGGAAAGGTTTTGGGGTTAAGGGTTTAGTGTTCAGGGTTTAGGACATAGGGTTCAGGGCTTAAAGTTTAGGATTTGGTGCTTAGTGTTGAGGGTTTAGGGTTTGGTGATTAGGGAGTAGTGCTTAGGGTTTAGGTTTTAGAGTTAATATAGGGTCCTTGTAATGAATGGAATAGGCCCCCCTGGCGCGTTTTTTAAACGGTTACTATATTGGTCCTATAACATGGTGGATCTACTTAAGACTAAGAAAAGGGCTTTGGCTGTATATTCTGGCATAGTTATATTAAGGAACCTTAGGGAATAGTCAGGGTACTTCTTTCGGCTTCGAAAGTGTTGTTCGCTTACGGTCAAGTGTGAATGGTTCTCCTTGAAAAGTCGATGGTCGCCCTGGCCCTGAACCCCAGGCGGGCTGAATGCAAGTGTGTTTGATTTGATGTTTGGACCTGATCTTCTGACACGTTTTGTTATACTAGGGCAGTTTTGCTGCCGAGAAGCGTCGACTCATGCTAGGCCTTCGGGCTTCATGTCACCTTGGAATTGGAGCTTCAGAATCTTCGGATGCATCTTGTCTGCAGCTCTTTGAAGCAAATTCCGAGATGTTAAAATGGGAGTTTCCGAAAATAGGGGACCCCAATATAGTACCTTAAATAGTAGGATCCTGATTATAGGGACCCTTAAATAAGGTACCCCTAATTTTCGGAAGCTCCCAAATCCTGAAGCCTTGAAGTCGAAGCAAACCGAAGCTTGAAGCCCCGAAACCCTGGAAGACTGCGCCCTAAGCCCTGGTCTTTTGCAGTTTATGGCAGGGCAGAATGATATCATCTGCCCTCCTGAAAATAGAACTGATCTACCACTGGGCCTTCAAGGGTTGAAGCCCTCCTCTTTTGAATTAGGGCTTGCAGGCTAGAGGTTGGGGCTAGGGGTGGCTTCGGCTTTACATGCCTTCCTTTTCAGGGTCTGGGGCACTTCATCCGACATGAACTGCAGCCCTCGTTCCTTGACCTTGACAGGCCTTATTCTCTCAACCCCAGATCTCCGAAACGAACGTCTTCATCGCAATACCACTTAATTCAGGAACATACCTTAAAATTATAGAAGCCTTAATCTTATGGTTTGAGGTATATTCCTTAATTTAGGGGTGCTGGGTTCTCTGGGCCTAAACCCTAAACCAACTTCCGAGCTCGAGCAGGCGATGAGGGGCAGGATGAAGTTGTACCGGAAGCTGGGCTCTGGAGTGCCCTACTTTTTTACCATTTTTTTGGGGGCGACCTGCTCCTTAAGGGGAACCGCAAAATAACATGTTATACTTTTTTATGGACCTGCTACTTAAAGGGAACTGCTAAATATCAGTCTGTACTGTTTTGGGGACCTGTCACTTAAAGTCTTTAAGGGAACCTGTAAATAGAAATTTATACTGTTTTCTCTCTGGCTACTGCAAAGCCCAGGAAGTGTCCTTCGTCCACCTCTGTGTGCAGGTCCGGTCTTGAAGGGGATGTTGTAGGGTTCAGGGTTTAGGGTTAGAGGTTTAGAGTTTAGGGGTTTAGGGTTCAGGGTTTACCTGAACCCCCCAAAACACTACCTTTTAAGGACTTTTTTAAAGAAATTATCGTAGGGAACCCTTAAAACATAGGTTATTTTGGTTCCAGGCTGGGTTTAGAGGTTCGGGCTTTAGGGTTTAGGGGAGTCAGAGGTAAGTTGCGCAATGTTTCGGGGTATGAATAAAGTAACTATAATAGTTAGTCATCACTATATGTACATCCTAAAATTTTAAAACCATGTTCTAACTATCTAGGCCCCTGTACCAACGATCAGTGTTTCGATTTTGGGAGTTAGGGAGTTGGGATTTGTGGTTCTTGAATGATCGGAAATGTGTCGTCTAGTTATTCCAGTCTACAACCTCGCAATCAGGCCATGACTCGAGTATAGGTTGAGGGTTTTAGGGTTTATGTGGGAATTTCCGAAAATTAGGGGTACCTTGTTTGGGGGTCTTTATAATAGGGATCCTACTATTTAGGGTGCCACATTAGGGTCCCCTATTTTCGGAAACTCCCATGTCTCTTTTTCTGAAGCTGTTTGGAATGGTCTCATCTACCCTTGCTAGAAGGATTGCTTACCATGTTCCTACTCGGGCTTATCATTCCCACCCATCATGTAGAGTCAATGTAGAGTCCAGCAGAGTCGTGCCCAATCAAGGCGAATTCGAGGAGTCGTCTATGCTGCACTTCTCTCTGGCTTGTTCTCGACATGAACGATGCTTTCTGGGATGTGATGTTCCGTAGCTGGCATTGCCAAACTGCAGTGGCATCCACTTGCTGTTCTACCTATACACTGACTTTTGCAGTGGCACCCGTGTGCTGTCCTGCCACAGAACGGACAGTTTTTGAGAAGCACTATGACTTCAGCAACTGCCCTTGTGACAAGGCTATTGTAATTGGTTCGGATCAGGCGTAGTCAGAAATTCCGGCGTGAAGCAAGCCAAACGACCCCACCCTTGACCCTGAAAGCCAGTATGCTTAGTGCAAGCACTGCTGCTTTGATTGTTTCCTTAATTACGCTAAACCGGCTAAATGCTGATACAATAAACAAACGACCCAACAACATTCATTGACATAAACCCGCCCCACGCGGACACACACACACACACACACTTGCAAACTCTCTGGCGAGAGTAGCTAGACAGGGGTTACCATCACTTGGAACAATTAAACAATTCATGATTGCTGCAGGTACGTTTACACGAGCACCGAGTGAGGGTCTTCGTTGGCCCGGACCTCACTCGGGCTCTCCGGGCCCCCTGCTTGTACCCTTTGTTATCAGGGTGTCACACACACAGCTACTCCCCAGTTTTGGGGAGTAGTGGAAACATGTGGAAACATGAAGGTCATCAGATGGTTCGCAGGTCAATGCCGCAGCCCCATCTGATGCCTGCTTGGTTTGGGCTCACCATGACGTTTCGCAGGTCAAAGCCGCAGCCAGCACATGGTGCCCTTGAAAAAAAGGTCATCGGGGGTACGGGTCCTGCCCCATTGAGGCTTGGGTCCTGGCGTCTCGTACTGTCGTCAGGGGTAAGGGTCCTGCCCCTTGTTTTGTCGTTATGGCTAGGGTCCTGGCCTTGTTGTGTCGTCAGGGGTACGGGTCCTGCCCCATTGAGGCTTGGGTCCTGGCCTCACGTGCTGTCGTCAGGGGTACGGGTCCTGCCCCCCATTTTTTTTTTGTTAAGGCTTGGGTCCTGGCCTTATGCCGATACAGATGCATCGAATCATTCAAGTAATACATGCTTTCATGCTCGGCCCTTGCTTTGCATTAGGGAAGCGGAAAAAGAAAAAGGAAAAGACAAAGGCTTTGCAGGAAGGCGGGCGGTTGGCTGCGTAGCCTTAAAGCGTAACAGCAACGTAAACGAAAAGTAAAGGAGCTGCAGCTGGAGGCAGCCTTTTTGGCTTGGAAAAGCCTCTGGCTTCGAGCATTGAAAAAGAAAAGAACTGTGACTGCGAAACGACACATGCGGGAAAAGAAAAGGTAAGGGGTGGCCCACATTGGGCACTTCAAACCCCGTTAGAGGGCTGCGCTCGCAGTTCGCAGGTCTTACAGAATGCCGCAGCCCTGCAGCGCATGTCCTATTAATACGGTCAAGCATCCACAGTTCGCAGGTCTTACCGAAATGCCGCAGCCCTGCGGTGCTTGCCGACCGACAGCTGAAATTCGTTGCACTGGTCGAAGATATACTCACAAAACTGCCGCATTTTGGCACTTTTGTTTTCGTTAGCATCAATCTTGATGCCTTGTTGATCGCAATATACAGAGGCATACTGATCCAGGTCCGCTTTGCTTTCCCGGAACTTCTGCATCCCCCTGCGGATTTGGTCCCTTTGCTATCAGGGCTGTACACACACAGCTACTTCCCAATTTCGGGAAGTAGCATGCAATTCGTCGTCTGGGGGTCACCATGACGTTTCGCAGGTCAACGCTGCAGCCACGTCATGGTGCCCTGGAAAAAATGCGTCGTCTGGGGTAAGGGTCCTGCCCCATTGAGGCTTGGGTCCTGGCCTCTTGCAATGCGTCGATCAAGGAATCATTCAAGAAATCATTCAAGAAGTCATTCAAGAAGTCAATCAAGTGGAAAAGAATCAAGAAGTCATTCAATTTATCAGCAGCATTCGAGGATTTGTCGAATCAAGAAGCTGCGAATCAAGAAGCGGCGTTCAATGTCTTGAACAGTTGTATCAAGAAGTCAAGCAGTTGCTACGCCCGGCCCTTTGACAGAATGCCGGTCGAGAACACACTTGCAAACTCTCTGGCGAGAGTAGCTAGACAGGGGTTACCATCACTTGGAACAATTAAACAATTCATGATTGCTGCAGGTACGTTTACACGAGCACCGAGTGAGGGTCTTCGTTGGCCCGGACCTCACTCGGGCTCTCCGGGCCCCCTGCTTGTACCCTTTGTTATCAGGGTGTCACACACACACACACAGACAGACAGACAGACAGACAGACAGACAGACAGACAGACAGACAGACACACAGACACACAGACACACAGACAGACAGACACACAGACAGACAGACACACAGACAGACAGAGACAGACAGACAGACAGACAGACAGACAGACAGACAGACAGACAGACAGACAGACAGACAGACAGACAGACAGACAGACAGACAGACACACACACACACACAGAGACACACAGACACACAGACACACACACACACAGACAGATATGTATCGTATGTGTGCATATATATATATATATATATATATGTACGTGTGTATATGTACATGTAGATGTGTAGATTCACACACACACACACACACAGACAAACACAAACACAAACCACCAGCCTTAAGCCCATAACACCCCCAAAAGCCGCATACACCCGACACAAACCCCAAAAACCGTACATGTAAGGCCCCTTCCCCTTGAACCCAACGAGCAACTTAGTTTTCCAAACAAGAACCGAATCGTTCTGTGCACTGGTTTTTTTCTGAACAGGGCTTTGGGGTTTAGGGGTTTAGGGTATAGGGGTTTATGGGTTTAGGGCTTTGGGGTTTAGGGTTTAGGGGTTTAGGAGAAACCTGGCTGAGAGGCTCCGGCGGCTCCCCGATGCCTTGCCCGGCCACCTCGGTACCGGAGACTGGAAGGCTCGAGTCCGGCGTGTTGGTCATGCGGAGGGTATGTCCCAAGTCTGAACTTGAGGCTTCGAGCTTGCTGGTCGTGTGTCTGCAGACGAGTTGTGTACGCGTTGAGTGTGCCTTTGCTGCAAATGTCTCACGCAGCCCACCTAGTCCCCGAAGATGTCAACATACTTGTGATAATGCTACTTGGAGGTTCATGGGTAGACAGAACTAATAACTGGGGTCATAAGGCCCTTAGTATGGGTTGTAACAATAATCGTTACCCTACTTATAACTTATAACCCCACTTATAACTGCACATGAACCTCCAAGTATGCAAGCAGGGTGTTAAGAATCCCAAACCCGTTCGAGCTTGCAGGCGATGGCTCTGAGGCTACAGATGACGCGCCTCCCACTGCGAAGGCCGGGCGCAAGACTCTTGCTTTAGGGTAATGTAGGGGCCTGAATAATTCGAATCGGGTTTTGCGGGTTCCTTATCAATCACAAATATAGCCAAAATCTCAAAACTTTGTTGAATTTATTAAGATTATGGACATGGCTCCATGGGTGTAGCACACAGGCCCGTCCTTCCTTTTCGGCTCCTCACTGCCAGCTGATGGATCTTAGCTCTTCTGGTTTATGGCCATATACCAGCATAGTGGTTTCGGACTTCCGTCTCCCGCGCTCTGGAGATCTGTTCCAGCCCGTGGTTTTTCGGATCTACTTACGGCGAAAATTCCACAAGACCTATCACCGCATAATGTCCTGGTGGCCACCCGACCGCAACTTAGAAGACGCCCTCAAAGCCATGAAGCCCTACATCACAAATGATGTCGGAGTACCTTACAGTACATTGCCCCGCAGCATTCAAATTGCCTAATGTAGGAACCCGACTAGGAACCCTGGCCCTATAACCCTAACATAGCCGGGTTCATATGGGAGTTTCCGAATATAGGGGACCCTAATATAGTACCCTAACTACTAAGATCCTTATCATAAGGACTCCAAAATAAGGTACCCCTAATTTTCGGAAACTCCCATATCAGGAACCCTGATGCAGGCCCAAGGTTTCTTAATCAGGTTCCTACATGGCAGTTTCCGAAAATTTGGGGTACCTTATTTTGGGCCCTTATAATAAGGATCCTACTATTTAGGGAACCATATGGGGGTCCCCTATATTCGGAAACTCCCACATGAGAGTCTGGACCTAGAGCCCCCCCTGTTTTTTTACACTGCAGAAGCCTTGAACCCCACAACAAACCAAGCCCTATGCCGTACGAGCCCTGAACCCTCAAGCAAGAAGACACCCTGAACTACTCCCAAATGTCTTGGAGGCCCTGGACACCGAACAAGCCTCATAGAAATCTCATTATGGACAACCTCATATACAAAGCAAACAGAAGTAGAACCCTTGTAGAAGCCTCGTAGCATAGAAAGTCGAGAAAGCCGTTCTAGACAGCTTGTAAGTAAAGCCGTAGAGGAGCCCTTGTAGAATCTGTCTAGAACCCTTGTATAAAAACTCCCAAACCCTAAACCCCGAAACCCCGAAACCCCTGAACCCCCAAGCTCTTACACCCGAAACCCGTAAACCCCCTAGACACTTAACCCTAAGCCCTACCCACAGGCTCCGCAGTAGTTCCGTTTTGGGGTTGATTTTTTCCTACAAGGTAATCCCAAAAAGGAACTACTATGGAGCCTATGGGTAAACCCTAAGAGAACTCTGCCGAAGCCGCCGTCCTTCCAGGCCTCTGCGAAACCCCAGGGCCGGCCCAAGCCGAAGACGCAGCCGAAGCGTCTCTCGGCCCTGAGGGTTCCTAGGGTTTTGGGTTTTGGGAGTAGGGTTTTTAGGGTTTGAGGATTAGCTGTTTATAGGGTTTAGGGTTAAGGGATTAGGGTTCAGAGTTTGGGATTATAGGGTTCAGGGATGCGGGTCTAGGATTCTTAGGGTGTAGGATTTAGGGTTCAGGGCTCGGGCTTGGGGAATCAGGGGCACCATATGCAGGGGTCCTTATATGACGAGAGTCCTATGACTTAGGGTTTTTTTTGGTTCTTATATGACAAGAGCCCTATGATTTAGGATTTATAGGGGTTCTTATATGACAAGAGTGCTATGACTTAGGGTTTACAATTCCGGCTCAATGAGTTTTAGTTGCCCAGCGCGTCTCGTGTCTGTACGTAGAGGTTTAGGACCCAATGGCATGCCACGAAGGTACCGGATTTTTACCATACCCTGTGTAAACCCTAAGCCCCTTGCCCTTACTCCGCAAACCCGGCCCTCAGAAACCCTGATCCAACAACGTCAAACCCCTGTAACTTATAACCCAATTCAAAACCACTGAATCCCCAACCCCGCCTCCTTCCTTGATGGAGGGCTAGTTATCTAAATTAGAGTCCCTTTCCGGGCCCTCCTCTTTATACGCTACCCTTATAGAAACCCTTATAGATCTCTTTAAGGAACCCTAAAGAGGAGCCCGTATAGCACCCTTTTCGCAACCCCATAGAAACCCTCATAGATCCCTTTCAGCGGCCCTAGAAAGGAATGCTAATTTTGGAGCTCTTCCCGTATGCTTGGAAGACCAGGCAGCGGATCGCCAAATCGCAGGGTCATCGCCAAGGACAAGCCCCGGGCCGCCGATGGGTTTCAAGGTGTTGCCTGTAGGTACTCGGGGGTTTCCGAAAATTGGGGGCCCTAATATAGTAGCCTAAATAGAAGGATCCTTATTATTATTATGACCCGCAAATAAGGTACCCAGCTATTTTCGGAAACTCCCACTTCGAGAGTACTATAAAGGTACATAGAGGTATGCTACTCTGAGGGTACTGTACAGCTACTTAGAGATTTGATAAGGGCTAAGGCTAAGGCTTTTGGGTTCAAGTTTTAGTTTCTGTAGGGGTGCTATAAAGGTACTACGTGGGCTGAGGCTTTGGGGTTTTAGGGTTGAGGGCTTCGTTCACAGTCTTAGGTGATAGCTTCACTATCTGTAGGGGTTAAGGGTGCAGGGTGGCTAAATTGGGGCTTGGGTTTACATTTACAGTCGCTTGCGACGCAACGCTAAGCTTGCCAATCTGGTCTCATTGCTAGTTGAAGCTTTTCCCGGGCCGGCAGTGGACATTGGAACTGTCGGCTTCCAATTGGAATTGCAATAAGCGACGTTTTCTGGGCTACAACAATCATGGCTTTCCTCCGGCGAGCCCCCGCCCAAAACCAAACCTTGCTGGCTTCTTGCCAAGAAGTGGAGCTTGGGCAACGTTGCCTGTCTTCAGCGACACCCGCCCGTGCACTCTACTGTGCCACAGCGAGGAAGCAGAGCTTGGAAACCTTACACGGAGGCCCTCGAACCGAGCCAGCCGCGAGCCAAGCCTGTTGCTTCTGGAATTTGAAAATGGCTTCATGTTAAGTTCCAGAGGACAGGTTCGGGCAAGTTTGGGGTCACAGGGGTGGGGTTCTGTAAGCAGCAGGCCTTGCCCGCCCTAAGGCCGCAACTGTGGGATGCTTGTTTCGTCTGAAGAATCAACGGGTTGACGCTGATAAGCATTAGAGTTTGAAATTTGTCGATGCTGCCAGTCAGAGCCATTGGCTTTGTCTTCGAAGACACTTGTTTGATTTCTTGTCTGTCATGCAAGTAGTTGGTCGGTGTATTTACAGTAGCTGTTGAAAAGCTGATGCAGCGCACCGAGGCTAGCTATATAAAGAGTGCAGAGTGCTTGCATACAGAGGTGTGTGTATGTATGTGTGTGTGTGTGTGTGTCCGTTCGAGCCGGTATACAGAATATGCACCTGCATGCCACACTACGGCACGTGCATACAAATGTGCACAATAAGTGCATATGTAGGTATGTACATACGTTCCTACCTGACGAGCGGCAATGCCTACCTGCCTTACCTACCGACCTCCCTACCTACATACTTCCCTCCATACAGACATACATACATGCATGCGTACATACATGCACGGACGAAGTGTGGTTTCATTTGAGGTCTTTCGCCACCCCGACGAGTCACCGTGCCGCTGGTGGGCTCCTGCAAGGGTTCATGACTTTGTTTCTTTCGGGATTCGATGGGATTTAAGGTTTAAGGTTTCATGGGGTTTAGAGCTTTATGGTTTAGAACCTTTGATGGTTTAATGGCGGCGATGGTCTAGAGAGTTTGCACGGGGCTTAAAGGTCAATGTTGACCTCTGGTTAGTGCGGGATCCTCCCCGACGATGGCACATTCTGATTTCTGCTTTACTCTGTTCCGGCGTCTTGTTGTGGCAACCCCAAACATGGCAAGCTTTTCATCTGTGGAGAATTTGACTCGCTGGGTTTGCGATTTAGGGGTTGGGCTTTTTTTAGTTTCTTGCAGGATGAGGATCTGCCGTGCTGGAGATATGCAAAGTGTGTAGCTCGCAGCCGCACAGAACTATTCTCGGGAAAGGCATAAGATGTCTAATTAAGTCAGATGGTGGGATTGAACTGGGGACGAGATTGCCGCACGGACAGCGACGTGCAAAATGTGGCGGAGCACAGCTTCGCCTACGCATGTAACGCCTTGAGTTGCAGCATCTCGCAGGATCTCAGCTCTAGGATTCTACTATAGGGGCCTAAATAATTTCTTATTTGGGGGGTCCTTATTGAAAAGATCCTTCTATTTAGGGTACTATACTAGGGCCCCCTATTTTTGGAAACTCCCGTGTTGCAAGGACCGGCTGAACTATTTGGGCCCTTCTACTAAACCCAGAAAACACCGATTATAGTAACCCAAACAGAACTCCTTAAACTAAAGTACCCCTAAGCACAAAGACGAGCAGGTGGTGGCCACGAAGCCCTCCAAGTGCAAGCCATCCTTCGGCGAAGGCCATCCCACAAATCTATGCTGGCACTGTCACGCTTGTGGATGTTTGGGATAGGGCTTGTTAAGGTTTCTAGGAGTATTGACGGAATCATGACTTTGTCTTGGTGGCGGCGGTTGACTGCTGCTGGCGGTGATGTTAAGGTGATGATAGCGATAGCGACGGCAGCTGTGATGATAGTTAGGGCAAATGGGACTGCAGGTTTAACGCGTGGCTCTACAAAACCGTTCCGATGACAGAAATGCGCCGTCCCCGCTCCCATAGATATGCAGCTATGGTTGACCCAGAGGCTTGCACTACTTCTAGACAACAGTGCCAGTCGTTCCTTCTCTCATCATGTTTGCGGCTTAAGTCCAAAATCCCTAGGACACAAAATCGAATCCCTGATTCCTATCACCCGAAATCCTGAATCTCTAAACCCTCTAATCCTTACTAGCCCAGTTTGAAGGCCTGAAACATACCCCACAAACACCAACTCCAAACGCCCTAAGCCCTCTCAACCCTTAGACCTAAATCTTCGAAATCCTGAACCTCAAGAGCTTTGGTCCGGTAAGTTCTGCCTTCACGCATACACTCCTGTATAAGACTCATCTTCCTCAGGATCAAGCCGGGAAACCCAACAGCAATGTAGGGATCTTCAAACGCTGAAGCATCCTAAAGCTCCGAAAATCTCACCCTATCCCCAAGTGTTCAAGTACTTGTACCATATTGTATGTACTTACGCCGTTAAGGGGTTCCTGTATAAGTGGTTGAATGCCTAAGTATATATACAGTGTTGTAAGATACTATAATATATGAGAATATTCTATTATTTAGTACATCATAATACACATACAACAATAGGGCATGAACCCCAAAACGCGGTAGCCGTAGGCTACGCTGCCGGGCGTCGCTCTGCGAGCTTTGGTCGCTCCCCGAGCTCTGCGCACAAGTCGCCGAGAAAGGACAGGGTGAAGGATTTAGGGCTGAGGGTGGTTTAGGGTTAAGGTGGGGTTTACCTGTTTACATGAACCCCTCCAAACCCTAATTACCAAATCGAAGGTTATTTATGACCCTTATAGACAGCTGAAACAAATAAGCTTTCGGATCTCCAGTTAGAGCTTAAGTGTGGATTTGTGGCAGACTTGAGGTTTGGGGTTGAAATCGCAGGATTCAGGGTAGTTTCGGAGTTTCGTGGGTGTAGCGTTTCTGGGTCCAGTCGTCGAGTCTAGGAAATTATGGTATGGTGTTACCCGAAGGCTGCATAGTAGTTCCTGTTTGGGGTTCATATTTAGAATCCTATAAGGTAATCCCAAAAAGGAACTACTATGGAGCCTTAGGGTAAAGGCTTACCTCAGAACTCGTTAGTCTGAACCTCACTACCGGTGAACTTCCTATGTAGGCTTCCCTGCATGAACCCTCTCCCCGAGCCCTAAGCACTCAGCACCTGGCTGATTCTCCGTTTGGAAAATCAGAGTAGCCGTGTGTAGGGCTACGAGATGCTATGACGGTTGCAAGTATTGCTACATCTCGGACCAAAGCACCTAAACTAAACCTTATCTACAATAACCTTAGGGGTACTTAGAAATAGTTTTAAATGTTTGGTTCTTATAGCCCCTAAGAAACAGCTAAAATTACAATTTTTGCTAGGGTTCTAAGTTCAGTAAAGTAAAAAGTAACATGAAACTGCAAAAGTGCAGGAGTCGAGCTCGAAGGGCGCGCAAAGACCATCGCGCTACCGAGGCACTGCAATGGTTGCCTACACCTCGGAAAACCCCCGCAATGGTTGCCTAAACCTTGGAATCCTTGGAAAACCCCATGCTCCTCCTATGCTTTGTAGGCTTATGTAGATAGCTCAGAGCTGAACTTAGTTGCAAGTATTGAAGGACCTCAGAATAGATGTGGGCTAGCTGCCCCAGAATCAGAGTAGGCCCATGGGACCTCGAGCCCTAGAAAGCTTCTTAGCCGTAAGATTCAGAAGCCTTTCATCCCTAAGCGTAACCTTCAACACCTAGCAGATTATTTAACCCTTCGAAAGCCGCCTAAACCCTGAAGCCTACAGCCTAGGCCTTGCTTAGCCCACAACCTTGGGAGACTGCTCTTGAGAAACTTTGAATCCAGCCTTGTGGCGGCTTTGTTGAGAGTTCTACCACGGGAGATGAAGTCCGCAGCACAGGCATCAGATCAGACTCAGATTTCATCTTTGGCCCTCCTTGAACGAGGTGGCCACCATTTGACCTGCGCGCAACCCTAAACCCCAAAGCTTAAGCCCCCAAAGCAGTCAGCAAGTGCAGCTCGGGAAGCATTGGAGGATAGGAGAACGGGAAGATGGCATGGGGTTCCTTTAAGAGGGTCCTATACAATATAGGGCCAGAATAAATACCAAAACTCTTCTGGGAGTTCCTTATTATTATAATGATAGTATAGTATACCACCAAACTCTTTTCTAATTAAGTATTAAGGCCCTACATTACCTATGGCATCAAGTGAGGCCTTGAATTCGTTGGCATCGCTTGCGCGAGTCCTGGAATGTATAAGCACTATGCTTCGAGAACCCGTTTGCGCAGTTAAATCCCAATACCCAAAAGCCCTGTTGGATCTTAACTACTACAACCGAAAACCCTAAACGCTAAAACCCTAAAACCCTAAGCCCTAAAACCCCAAACCCTAAAACCCTACACCCTAAAACCCTAAACCCCCACATGTTTCTGAAGTTCTCATCTTCTTGTTCGTGCGGTTACTCAGAGCTTTACGTTGAAGTTTCACTGGTTACACCTTCCAACTTGCTGATGGTCGCCAACTGCAAACCTATAACCCGAGCCTTGCTAGGTACGGCCCCTGAGCCCGGCGGCGAGGAAGCGAGGTGCAATCGAGAGCTTAGGGATGTAGGGTTTACCTTGAACCAGCAGTAACTTTTTTTGTAGGATACCTTTTATATTCTATTGTTAGGGCTTATAGGAAGAACCTACGAAACATAGGTTATGGTAGCTTAAAGTCGATTCTTCTTGGGTTGCGGGCTTTCAGGCTTTGAGATCCTACAGCGTCCAGCTTTGGGCAAGTTGTTGTGGGACTCAGAGTTTAGGGTTTAGGGGTTTCGGGTTAAGGGGCTTGGTTTCTTAGGCGCAGTAGGGCTTTCGAGTTCAGGGATTAGAGTTTAGTTTTCCAGGACCCAGGAGGGGAAGCCCTTCTTCCCTTTTGTAGGGTTCAGGTTCCCTTTTGCCACCCTTTAAACCAAAAAGGGCACCCCGTTTTATTCCTAGGTTACTGTTAGGTCTGGTTTTGCTTTTTGGGTGAGGGTGCAGACCGCGAAGTTTCGAGTTGGCTGTTTAGTTGGTAGAGCTTCAGCCCATTCTGTCGATTTGCGAGAATCCCAAACTGTAGACAGCTCTACTGTAAGTTTTGCTAGGCTAGAGGGGCTTTGCACACAGGGTTTGAGGGCTACCGTAGCCAACTGGCCCCTGCGGCCCCTGCTGATTAACCCCGTCGGCCCAACCCCCGCAAACCCTAACCCCTACACCCAAAACTTAAACTTTAAATCCTAGCCTTAAACCCAAATCGCCAGCCCTCAGCCCCGAACCTTTGAGTTGAATCATTGAGGGTCTGTGTGGGGGTTTAGGGTTCAGCTCTGCGTGGAAATACAGGAGTCGGAGTGTTTAAGCTTAGAAATATATATATATATATATATATATATATACAGTAGCCGCCCCTTGTACCGGTAATTCCTCATTTGTTTATGGACTAACATACCCCCAAACCCTATACAAAGTATCAAGGCCCTTACCTTAGGGTAAGAAACATCTATAGTACAGATTCATAAGGCCCTTGATAGCAGAGTATGGGACCAGCGCCGGCCAGATACAACCCTAAACCCACCTACTCACCCTAAATCCCAAACCCACACCCTAAACCCTGCAAGCCCCAAACCCCAAACCCCAATCCCAGTCCCTAAACCTCTTAAACAGGCTCCTCTCGGAGATTGCCTCGCTCAATGTCTTGCTCGAAGAGTTGCAGCAGCGGACTGCTCTGATCCCGGGCGAGGAAAAAGCCTACAGGGTTCAGGGTTGAAGGGTATCGGTTCATTGGGTTTGGGAGTTCCCGAAAATAGGGGACCCTAATATAGTACCCTAAATAGTAGTATCCTGATGATAGGGACCCCCAAAATAAGGTACCCCCAATTTTCTGAAACTCCCATTTTGGCTTGAGGGTTGAGCTTCGGAGAGGTTTGGTGGGATTTCAGGTTGCGGGTTTTGGGGTGGTTGACGGGTACGGGTTGCTGGGATTTCGGTTCGAGGGCTTTGGGGGTGTGGTTTTGAGTTTTTAGGATGCGGGTTTGCGTGGAGTGATGAGCTTGGGCTAGCGCTCAGCTTTTTTGCGGTTTGTAGTCGTCCACCCTGAACCCTATACCTCGGAGTTACAGGACGTGGGCGGTTTGCGCTGATGTTTACGTCGATTTGCCTTGCGACCTTCAAATGAGTGAAAGAGCCAGTGCTGCTTAGTTAACTTAAAGACACGACTTAGCAGCGTAGAGGGCAGTCAGCCGAGCCTCAATCCTGAAGCGAATCACGAGCCCCCAAACTGAAATCCGAACCCTAAACCTACTTAATGAGTGTCACGACGCTGATTCCCAAAGCCTTAACCCGACATCCCACAGCAGAAAGGCTTGAATCTCTGCCAAGGTTATTCCTTGCGGCTCTTACCATAACTATGCTAAAAAATGTACGTCAAAACCACCATTCCAATCATCAAGGCCAGATATACAAGAACCCTCCAAAAAGCCCTAGAAGGAGCACTCTCCTGTCTTCTTTGAATTATTGAGGCCCTTTTTATTAACCTGCTTCCCATGTCAGCCTTCAGGGGGACACGCAAGACCCAAAGTCCCCCAAAAACCTGACAAAAGTATGCAAAGCAGGAACACACATGTTTCTGATTGTAACAATGGTACGACTCATCATGATGATGAGGTGTTTTCAGGTGTGACTGCATTATCCTGCAAGAAGACAAAATACATGCAGTATGCTTGGACAAGAGTGTATGGCCTGATGCTAGTGTTCGATCGCAGACGTGTCCTCCTCTGTGTTGGCTCAGCCTCGAAGCAGGCCAAGGCGAGTGTAGGATTGATCCTTATGGTTTAGAGTAGAGCTTAAGGTTCGGGTAAAGCATGCTTAGAGGCCGGAGGCTCCGCTCCACGATCTCAGAGTGTTTAGGGTTTGTGTTGAGGGTTCACTGCCAAGAACGGCCTGCCTCCCGACTAGGGCATCAAGCCTTTAGTTTTGCTGAAGCAAGTTGGGGCAGCTGTAGGAACATAACAACAAGCATACTCCAATGAGAGCTCGTGAGAACAAGAGACCGTCACAGATCCTACAAGTGTGCGACGTCACAGATTCCGCGCACGGTTTTGGCCTTGCCTGAAGGTTCCACAGTGTTTTCCAGAGCCCCGAGCTGACGTCATTGATTGCTGCCGCCAGTCTGAAGAGTGGCCATGGCGCAGGCGGGGTAGATGTTTGCAAGGTGCCTTGCGGCTTTTTATCCACTTACTCTAGAAGTTTGGAAGTCTGGAAGCCTAGAAAGCTACGGCTAGTGTTCCCTAGAGGGTTCCGTTTTATTTACAATTTTGTATACTCTGCGCCAAGAACTACTCAGCAAGTTTATTCGGGCCCCTACATAGGCCCTACATCATGAAACCCTCAGAAAGCATATCTGGAGTAATCAAATTCATGCGATGATCAGAAACTGTCAGAACCAGTCGCCCATAAGACTATGTGCAAACAACAGTCTAACACCCCTTTGAACCCAACCTTGCGAAACCCGCTCCCCACGTCTGGGATTCAGGGCCCTCCCTGCAGCTCCCTGCCGGCGCCCTCGACGGAGGTGCAAAGCAGTGGGAGGTTGAAGGGTTCGGTTTTCTGAGGCTTATAGGGCTTGAATCAGGATCAGTGTTTAGGGTGCAGGTTTTTCAGGAGGGCGGTGCAAAGGTTTAGGCTAGGCTTTCGGATTGACTCCAAAGCGCGTCAGAGGGAGCGCGTGGCTGGCTACTGCTGATGTCTTCTTCGCAAAATGATTGTCCATATCATCTTGACCATCCACATCCTCGTCATCCGGCCCTCAGCATCATCCGTAGCACTATCATCTCCGACGCCCTCATCTAATTATCGCCATCATGACGACTATCATTATCACCACCACCACCACCACCACCACCACCACCACCACCACCACCACCACCACCACCACCACCACCACCACCACCATCTTGGTATTGAAATCTCCTGGTTCATCACCGCCACCATCATCAAACAAGCAAAGCCTCTAAAGCTTAAACTCCTACCGTGATAAGGGGCCAGTGTTGTGCAGGCCTAGAGCCTCAGCTGCCCAGAACAAGCGAAACCCTAAACCCTCAAACCCTAAACCCTACCCTAAACCCTAAAACCCCAAAACCCTAAAGCCCTAATCTCACTGTGCTGGCTGAAGAGGCGCTGACGCCGCGCACACCCCCGGGCTCGGTCAGGCTGCTGGGCCATTGGGCATTACTATATAATTCTTGCCTGTACTATTTTGGGGTTTCTTTATTATAGTTATAGCATAATAAATATACCCCAAAACCCTATTCTAAGTATTCATGCCGCTTTATTGGGACTGACCGGTTTCGCCTGGGTTGAGTTCGCCCTTCAAAGATCAGGGTGTTAGGGTTTTCAGGGCGGAACGACAGTTTGGTGTTGTTTGTCCTTCCGGATTTCGATTGTAGGACAGGAGGTTTTTGAAGGTGAAACTCTGAAGTTGAGCGGCGTTGACACTGATTTGATGTCTCTTACTACAGCTACTGCTCTACAAAACCAAGTACCCTTTTTTGGTGGGTCTGGTGGGAACCTAGAAAGTGCTGGGTAGAGGTTTCGGATCGCGCAAAGTATGCCTCCCTCATCATGCGGCCGGAACTTGGACGCTCGTGTGGGGAAACCTCTCGGACTTTCAGCTTAAAGAGAAAACCCTGAACTCTGAACCTGTAAAGGAACCCCCAAAGGAACCCCTGAAGGAACCCACCCCTAAATTTAAAGGAACTCTTAAAGGGCGCAGACAGGGCCCCATTAGGCATACTTAGTATCATTATCTTGGTTTGAAAAGTGTTGTGTCGTATGAGACAGGGAATACACAGCAATACTTGGTGTCTTTATCTTGGCTTGAACGGTTTTGTGTGATCGCAGACAGGACCTAAGCAATACTTACTTAGTATCATTATCTTTGTTTGAACGGTTGTGGGATGCAGGACTTGTGTTCGGAGTAGAGTTGTAACGTAGTCTAGAAAGCACAACACGGGGCCTTGAGGTAGGTTTGGGGGTAGCGTATTCCTTATATATATATATATATATATATATATACAGATATGTACGCATACACACATTCAGTAATACACACGTGCACACAAGCATACACGCACACACATAGATAGATAGATTGACAGATAGATCGATACATACATACTTCCGTAAGATATATTGTGATATGATCCTTCTTGAACTTCCGAAGGACCCGCGCCCAGACCGAGCCATCCTATCGACACCTCGAAGGTCAGGGGCGGCCTATGATTTCACGGGGATTAGGATTTCAATCAGTCATATGATGACTGATAATGGATCCCGAACAGATACGATGTAAGAACTCGTGTTTTGTGGCATGCGCGCAGACCGCGAGGGAATACTATTAATAGCTGTGAGCGGCTCGAGGGGGAGATGGAAGTGTTGCAGGCTTTTGTGTTCACGGGCTCCTAACCCCTCAGTTGTGATCACTAACTTTGTAGGGTTTATTGACTAGCTTGGGGCTTTATCTCACTACCTGCGTAGACCCCAGCCCATACAACAAAGGCTTCCACCACCGGGTTCCTGTTTGGGGAGGTTGGGGTGAGCTTTGGTGGATTGGGACTGGCTGGGCAGCCTGTGAAAGGGTGCATGCGCACGTCGGATTGCGGTTTGAAGTTGGGGGTTTTCCCTAAACCGTATGTCTACATATTTCCCATCCGTCGGGTACTGTTTTGGGGTTTGGGTCTTTCGGGTTTGAGTGGTTCAATAGGCTGAGCCAGGTATTCGGGGCTGGTTCTTCTCGGATTGGGGCATCATCGAGCGTCCCGGCAGACCATTTACGAAGTTCCTGGGCTCCAATGCCAGCCGCGATATTAGGCTTTTGGGTTTGTGATGTTGAAGGTTTCAAGACATGCTCGGCCATGTTTGAAGGCAGCTAGCAGAGTCATACGTGATCCCTCCCCATTAGGCAAGACAACCTACACCCTTATAACCCCTACACCCTAAACCCTTAAGTTGGTTTTTATCTCATCCCCGAAGGACAGTGCTCAGTCGACAATTTCCCATAATCGGGATGGTGGATGTGGAAGTTTATGCATGAAGTCGGAGACGTGAGCTGAAGCACTTGCACAGCCTGCATAGCTGCGCGTTGTTCTGTTTTGGGGAATCCTTTTTTCGACCCCGCTGCTTTTGACCATGCTTTTATCGGATGACTGACTGTGCTGAATGCCAAATGTCCTGAAATGTGACTCGGACAAGACTTGAAGCGTGCCAAGACGAACCACAGCACCCCACACCTACAAAGCCCTCACAGACCACAAAGATCAGCTGCAAACCGACGAGAGGCGCAAGCCGCTTGCGGCTGTGTGCGAGGGGCCCAGAGGCCTTCTGTGCAGGTTTCGTTCAGGCATCCGGGTGGTCCGGAGCCTTGATGGCTGATAGTAACAAGAGTCCTTGAGTCCTATCCATGTAACAACCCCTGGACCTTACAGTAGACTCCATAAAGTTGGAAACCGGATTAAGGCCAAATAGTGCTGGGATTACTCTTAAGGATCGAGGCTATTGGGTTTCCAACTTTTTGGCTTCTACTGTAACCTATTCTGCATAATAGTTGTCAGGTTTAAGTTGTGGGCCAAGCTGCACTGGATTGGGGAAGGGAGCGCAGGGACACGACCATGGCCGAGCCCGACTTGTGCAGACCAACACGGTGGCCGAGACGCGCGCGATGGACAGCCACCTCCATGTCGTGACTTTGGTTCGCCTGACCCCCCAATATGCCCTATTCCGTGGTCTACAATGCCAGGAAGAAGTGCGGCTTCGATACCTGGAGGGAATTTCTGCCACGTCTACAAGCCACAGAACGCGAAGAGCAACATGAGGCTGCTCAGGCGGATTCTAATCCAGCCGAGGGCTTCGGTAGGATCCCTTCGGGCAGCTATCGACTGCTGGGCGGCTGACATGGCAGAGTATGTGTCCGGGGCAACAAGGACTTGGACGATGCCCAGAGGGTGACCATCCTCTGTAACATCGTGCCGGAGCCATATTCTAAAAACTTTTTTCTAATTATTATAGGGCCCTACACTAGATGAGGCTTGCCTTGTGGTACATGCGTTGCGTAGACAGCAGCTAGGGTTTTGGGCTGAGCGGCTTTGTCTGACAGAAGCTTCAACTAGCAACAACCCTATAGTGCCTAAGCTGAAGAGCATTCAAGCGTGACTTGTCTTCATTTTGCATTAGTCAGATGCTATGCTTTGGCGGCTTACTTTACGTGAAGGATGTGGGGACCCAGGAAGTAGTGTATGAGCAGGGTTATAAGTAGGCTATGGCTACTTCCATATTTCTTCAGCCTTCTTACGAAGACCCCAAATCCTGTAAGTATGGCGCCGGGCTTTTGGGTTGGAGTCGTAGCAATCGTAGCAGTAATGGTTGAGGTTTGGACAGGGGGGAGTCGGGGCATTGGGGTTCAGGTTCTGCGATGGTTCGTGACATAGGCCTTTGAGGCATGACGTCTTTGAGTTGGGAGCCCAAGTAACCTCCTATAAGGCTGTATGAAACCCTACAAAGCCCCTGCAAGACCCTACAGAACCCTCGTCGACCTTGTATTCGTATCGATCCTTGCAAACAGCCCTTCTGACTTAAACTTAAACTACACCTTAAAGAAGCAAGGCTACTGAAGCACCCGCTGGGCAACCAAGGACATCGCCGAGCATCGAGTCTGCACCCTCAGCAGATCTGATGCGCCGGGGTTGGGGTGTTTAGCCGCCTGGCCCACGTGCAAGGGAGAGTAGAAGTTAAGGCCTACGTGGTGGATAATATACATACATTCATACAGATGCATACATACAAACATAGTTAAGTTGAAGTACATACATACAATTCAATGAAGCAGGCCTGATCAAATCCGGTTTATATGCTAGCTTGTATGTGAGCCAGCAAGCTTCGGGTGGTCTCTTTCGATAATAGTTGGTTCTTGGATCCACGAGCACCCCCTCATCATAAACTCCGAAAACCCTCAAGCGTAAGCTGTAAACCCATACACCTGCAAGCGCTTTAACCGCCATCTGAACGCCCTGCCACCCCTTCGAAGTGCCACCTGTCTAACCCCTTGCCCTCAAAGATCCCAGCGCCACTGGTGAACCCTGAACCGCTAAACCCTAAAACCCCAAAGCCCTGGTAAGGTCGTGCGCTACGGCATACGGCACCTAAGGGAGGAGCTGGCGCCCGAGGCCCCCTTGAATTGCAGGGGTTACATAAGGGGTTGTATGGCCTTGCGAGTTCTTTGGTAAAGGGTTCGTGTATGTTTCTTAGAGGGACCTCTGGAATGTTAACAGAAAGCAACACAATTTTGTTTTACAGTGCTACACCTCAAAGTCTAGAGTGATTCCATAAGTGGCAGGTAGCTACTCTGCTCCCAAGAGAGCCTTACAAGTGGATTCATTATGAAGAAGCCCTAAGTTTAAGCATGCTTGTAGTTCCAGCAGACCCTTAGTTAAGGAACCCGCATGAACGAAGCAAAAGCATAAAATTCCGGGAGAGGCTCCAAATTCCTTGCGTCAAGATCCCTTATTAGCAGTACTAACCACGACAAGTAAGAAGACAAATGAAGACAATCGGGAGTTCAGGACAGACTGAGCAGGTAAGAACTTATCAAATTTAACGGCTCTAACATAAGCAGAAAGCCTTTGCAGGGGACGCCACAACTTTCAAGAATTATTAACTGCTTCCATCAGGGGGCCTGCTTTCTGAGCCGTGCGTCATGTATCATGGAAGTGCGAAGCCTTGCGTTTCAGTGTACACTAGGCGCCTAAATAATTACCAACACCATCCTGGGGGTTCCGTATTATTATTATTATTATTATGATTATTAGTATTATTCTTATTAATATTGTATAATGGGCCCGAAGACCCCATTCTACTTATTCAGGCCGCTATATTAGAGCAATGCTCACTGATGAGGAGTTGGGCTTCCAGCTAACTGCACCTTGACATCCTACAGCTCCACACTGTAGGGATGCGTGTCCTCTTTGGAACGCAGAGGAGCAGTAGCGACAGCTATTGAACCTCAGGGCTCAGAGGCTTCGTTGGGCTAAAGAGTTTCAGGTTTCGGCGTCTATCATGATGAAAAAACCCCAACCGTGATAGCCATGATACGATCTTATCAGCTACCCACTAAAGGGCTCGACCTTGAAAGCCGCTTCTGCTGCAGCCAAAAGCACTGCACGGGCTGAAAGCTCAGAGTTTCAAGTTTCGAGCCCCTACACCGCTACCCCTATGATCACTAAACCGTCAACCCCATAAACCCCAAACCCGACACCCTACACTACACCCACAGCCCCTAACTAACCGCTTTAGCCGGCAAACGTGGGTTCCTTTTGCTGTTTCTTTCCGCCATGGAGCACCGACAAGCCCTCCTTCCGCTGCTCGGCGTTTGCGCGCTGAGCCTCCACGGCTGTGAGGTGAGTTGCAGGCAGGCTTAGCGCTTGGGGTTCAGGGTTTAGGAGTTTGGGGTTTCGGGCTTCCTTATAGGGTTTAGGAGGTACGGGCTTACGGCTTCGGGTTACGGAGCTTTTGGTTTTTGGGGCTTTGGGCTAAGGGTTTAGGGCTTAAGTTTGTGTTTGTTTTGTTTCTCAGGTTGTGGTGCTAGTGTTGCCTGCCAGAAGTGTTGCTGCCATACCTTTGTAAAATTCATGAACTATAACCAATACACGTAGATGTATAGGCATGATAATGTCTATCTGTATGTATGACTGCATGACATATACACCATATACTCGACATACTCATGAGTGCTAATGTATGTAGACACACATTATGTATATGTGTATATATATATATGTATATATATATATATATATACATGTTACATATATATATATATATATAGATATATGTTGTGCCAGCCTGTTGTTGTTATCAGTCCTATTCTTGCTGATTCGCTCTTGTTGTGGTAGCTCCACGCCTGCGTTTCATGATTGCTAATGCCACTGTTCGTGCTTTGGGTTAGGAAGGATTAGTAGTGTTGGAGTTGCCAGTGTTGCTAGACCGGTTTGTTCTAGCTTGATCGAAACACCAAGTGGCAACAACGCTGCCCTTGCATACTCCTTGAAGGCTTTAATGCAGGGCCCTAAATAATTACCTTTACTACTTACGGGGTTCCTTACAGTAAGTATAGTATACTATACCCCCAAATCGAATTTTCTCATTATTAAGGCCCCTACATTAGGAGGTTGATGGCTGGAGCTTAGGGATTTTGGGCTTTGGGCTTTAAGGGCTTCTCGTTTAGGACGGACTTTGGCTCTCGGGTCCCACTGCTCCAGTGACTTACTACAAGGGGCCTTAGTAACTAGAATGCGGGTTCCCTTTAAGGGGTCCTTTAAAGGGTTCTATAAGGGATCTACAGGGGTTCCATACTATAGGGGCCTTAATAATTAGAACAGGGTTTGGGGGGTATTTTATATTACAATTCTAAGAAGGAAACCCCAAAACAGTTTTCGTTGTTGTCAAGGCCCCTGCATTACACCGCATCCGAAGATCTTGTGCCGATGGTTGACAGCTGTGCACCAACCAAGGTTGACAAAACACACGTCGGTCGTCCTAATCCGTGTGCGTTATACCTGAAACTCGAATCCTATGTGCCCTAGACCTTAAGCTCATACCCTGGATCGGTGCACCAGGTTTGGGGAGGAGCTGCGCTGCTACAGCGATGGGCTCGTTGCTGCCAAGGTCCGTCGCTAAGGAATTAGAAGCGTACAGAGCGCACAGAGGCTTTCTCTTCTGTTAGAAAGGGTGAGAAAGTCTGTCGAGCAACAGCACGACTAAGTTGGAGCTTGATTGGGAGCGTTGCCCCCAAACTCCGAACTAGCTAGCGCACACAAGCAAGTGGCGACGGCACACCATCAACACGCCTTGACTTGACTCCCTTCCCAAAGGGTCCAAGTATCACTATGGTGTATATACATATATATATATATATATATCCCAAAACTACTATAAGTATGTACCCTAATGATACTTGGACCCTTTTGGCTTGTTCTGAAACCCGGAGCCCCAAGCGCTGACAGGTAGAGTGTGGCAAGCTGGGCGAGCAGAACAGAACCACGCTCAAAGACTCTTATGCGAAAGGCTACGAGGCAGGGGTCTAGTGAAGGGCTTAGGGTTTAGGGTCTATCCTAGCTCATCTCACACCGAAGCTCTCTTAAAGCCCGAAGTTACAACCCTAAACCATAAACCGCAATAGACCCTACCTGGACCCCAAATAAAATACCTTTTCTAGCGTTCCCTAATATGATTTCTTCACATAAGTCCTTGAAAAGGTAGGTTCTTTGGGGTTATATAAGGAAATGATTGAGCCTTACCGTTCAGGTTCATTGTTGCGGCAGGGCCGCGCTTCTTGATTTGAGAACTTGCAGTCGGGTCTGGGGTTGACGGTTCCGGGGTCCATGATTCAGGATTTAGGTGTGGGTAGGGTTTCGGGTTTTGGGTTTGGGGGTTTAGGGTTTAGGGTTTGGGGCAGGGGCGTAAGTAGTAAGGGAGTCGCGCCATGCCCCGGCTTAAGCGGCTTAAGGCTTTAGGGCCTCAGACGTTGCAAGCGCAGTCTGCCTGACGGCTTTCTGGCCTACCCTAAGGCTCCATGTACCCATATAGTATATACTTGGGCCTTAAACTACCTATATGGGGACCCCGTTAAGCCTTAAGTATCTACTATAAAGGTACATGGAGCCTCTGGGCTATAATATACCCTAAACCCTAAACCCTAAACCAGCAGCTATAAGTTGTGGATGAGCGAGGCTCTCCGTGAACCCCCCAAGTAGCGGAACGGAGGTCTCGGACCTTTTTCACTCCAAGGCTTCAAACACAAAGAGTGCTAGCGTGGAGCATATGTATATGTATGTGACAGTATGTGTATATATATATATATATATACATATATATATATATGTATATATATATATATATATATATGTATATGTATGCATACGTGTATATTATACCATGCATGCATGCATACATACACGCAAGCATGTGTGTATATATATATATATATATATATATATGTACACATACCCATGTCTGTGTCTTTACCTATGCATCTGCGATTGCTCTGTACATATGCACTGCACTAAAGCCCAAACTTTCAGCCCAAAAGTCTGGACCTATCAACTCCTGCACCTCGGAAGCTTCACGGCAGTTTCAGAACGTAGTCGGAAACTTGAGCATAGGACCATGCATAGTAGGATCCGTATTAGACAGCTCGACAGGCAGTCAAAAGCCTGGAAACCCTAAGAGCCTTGAACGCCTGGACAGATTCTAGAATTCTAGACCCAAAGGGTCCAAGTATCATTATGGTATATACTTAGACCCCCACATTACCCTTTTAGTATATACCATCATGATACTTGGACCCTTTGGGCAACGCTCCCCCTTCTCTCCTCTCTCACGGAGCAAGAAGACCTTGTATTTCAGTAGAGCCCCTCAGTCGCGCTGCAAAAAGTTGTGGATTCCTGAGTCTAGATGTGCCACAGGAAGCCAAAGTGGGTGGGGTGCTTCTTGAAATTAGGGGTCAATTTCCCGGGCTACGTAGGGTGTTTGGGGTAGTTAGTTTGCGGCATCATGGCTCTATGACGAGGCTTCTAACAGGGGTTGCCCACGCTGTTTTGCGAGGTCAAGGGTTCATGGTTATTGCAGGGTTAATAGGGGTGTTAGCTAACGGGGGACGGCTTCCGCCTGGTATTATGCAAAACGCACCCTCAAAAGGCCATTGTAGTTCGTCTTAAACCATACACAGTATCAATGTCGCTGACAAACCATATGCACCAACAGCCAAAGCATCCATCCTAGCATCCCCCCAAACCCTAAACCCTAACCCCGCCCCACCCACCAAAACACAGAGCTGCTTACAGGATGGTTTCGAAGAGGCTCTCCTGCACTTCAAGGGACACACGCCGCTCGACGGAGGCTTTAGGTCGAATAGGGGCCTAGGGTTTCCCTGGGCCTTAAGAAACCTGCCTTGTTAGGGCTCCTCAATGTGATTTCCCTAGAGACGCCCTGAAATGGTAGTTTCTGTGGGGTTAAGGTGGGTTTAGGGAGGGTTCCTTGAAGGGGTCCTGTAGCTAGAAGGGCCCCGGGAAGGTCGGTGTTGGGAGTCGTCCAAGTCTTTCAAAAAAACTGCAACCCCCAAAACCTAGCAATATTTAGGGCTTAACTGCTGCTCTCGCACAGAGGTACA